GGCCCCCACATCAGGCTCTGCTGTCAATGCAGAGCCAGCTAGGGATTCTCTCTCCCTCCCTCCCTCTGCCCCTTTCCCACTCATTCTCTCTCTCTCTCCCTCTCCCTCAAAATAAATATACATTAAAAAATTTTTTTTAAATAAAGCTATCATACACCTGCATAAAAATGGCACATAGGGTGATGTTCTGTCTTGATAAAGGTTTTAGTTATAGGAAAATGTTCATTTGTCAAAACTCAGCAAATGTACAGATTTGTATATTTAATTGTAAATTTTACACCAAAAGAAAAATCCCATAAATAAATGATGAACTCTAGATAAAGATAGGCTTGCTTGCTGAACTATTTAGGAAGTATCCTGATAGCTGCATTCTACTTGAAATACACCAAAAATTAGGTGGATTGATGGATGGATAGAAATGTAATAAAGCAACTATAGGAAGATATTAATGCTGGAATGTAGGTGGTTTACTGTTTATCTGTTTACTGTAAAAAAAAAAAATTCTAACACAAAACATTTTAAAAAGCAAGGAGACTGTCCTTGTTTTTTGGAAATCCTTGTTGAAATATTGAAAGATAAAATCTCATAATGTCTGTAATACTTTCAAACGATTTAGCTATATGTGAGTTTACACAAAGAGATAAAGCAAATGTGGGAAAAAATATCAAGAATCAGAGTGAAGGGTTGATTTAAGGGTATTCACTTTGCTATTCTTTTGACTTCTGTGTAGGTCTAAAATGTCACAAACATAAGCAATGAGTCAGTGACATGATCGCTGGAACTAAAATATCAAGACATTATATTAGTAATGTCTTGTTTTCCCATCAGGTTTGAAATCTAGATCAGGTTAAACACTAATTACAAAACACATAGAGACAATTCTCAATTTTGAATATAGTATTTGTAAGGAAAAGTATAATGTTGAATAACTAGTAAGCATTTTGGCTCTACCTTTAAAGAACAAAGGCTGATAATAGCCATCATTTTAGCTAAAAGAATCTTTTCTGAAATGTATGAGAATGCAGTAAATGATAAAGGTGTCCCAAGTCAGTGGGGATAGAAAAGATTGTTTTACGAATGGTGCTAGGACAGGTATTCTCGGGGGGGGGGGG